CGCCTCGCACCCATTCGGACGACTACTATGAAACCAACAGACACACAGAAGATGACAGGTGCTGGCGAGGATGGGCACGAACCCGAGCCCTCGCGCACCGCTGTGGGGAGCGGACGGCGGCACAGACACAGTGTCAAACAGTACGGCCGGTACTCGAATATTTAAAGTAGGGTGACCGTATGACCCAGCAACGCCACTTCTAAGCACACACCCGAAGAACGGAAAGCTGGATCTCTAGATGTTTCCACACCTGCGTCTGTAGCGGCATCATTCACAAGAGCCAGGTGGAGCCGACCGGGGATCCGTGATGGGTGAAAGGACAAAATGTGGTCTATACATTCCGTGGAATACTCTTCGTCTTAAACGAGAAGGAAATCCTGCCACGTTCCATAATATGGATGGGTCTTGCGGCCCTGACGCGAAGTGAAACGAGCCAGTCTCGAGAAGACAAGCAGCGCATGAGCCCACTTACGTGCAGTGCCTAGAGTCATCAGCTCACAGACGCAGAACGCACAGCTGTGGCCATGGGGCCACGGGGGAGGAGGGCATCAGGAGTTGTTGTCCAAAGGGTACAGAGTTTCAGTTTTGTAAGATGGAAGAGTTGCATAACACTGTGAATATACTTAACACCACTGAACTATAAGCTTACAAATGGTTAAGATGGTAAATATTATGTTACGTTATTTTGCCACAGTTAAAAATGGGGCACCTGGGTGGCTCAGTGGGTTAAAGCCTCTGCCTTTGGCTCAGGTCATGGTCCCAGGGTCCTGGGATCAAGCCCCGTATCGGGCTCTTCGCTCGTCGGGGAGCCTGCTTCCTCCTCTCTCTCTCTGCCTGCCTCTCTGCCTACTTGTGATCTCTGTCTGTCAAATAAATAAATAAATCTTAAAACAAAACAAAACAAAACAAAACCCTGAAATACTGGGATATGAAGAGCCGTGCAGAATCACTGGAACTTTCTATACTGCTGGTGCGGAGGTTAAACAGTACAGACGCATCGTAAAACAACCGGCAGTTTCTCGTAAAGTTAAAGATACGCACGTGATCCAGCCATTTCACTACTAAGTATTTACACAAAAACCATACAAGAGTGGCTTTATCACGACTGCCAAAGCGTGGAAACAATCCAAATGCCCATCAACTGATGAACGGGTAAAGAAATGACTGTACCCCCCACTACAGAGCACTACTCAGCAATAAAAAAGAATAAACCACAGATAAATGTGCTCGATGCAGCGAGCCCCCAGCCCCTGGCCCCCAGCACCTGTGACTGGGATCTTATTTAGAAACAGAATCTGGACAGAGGTAATCAGCTTAAGAGGAGGTCATACGGGATTAGCGGGGGCCCTCGACCTAAGGACTGGTGGCTTTCAGGGACAAGACGGGGAGAGCTCTGGACACAGAAACACAGGAGAGAAGGTCCTGCTGAATGGAGGCAGAGGCTGGAGGGAGGGAGCCACAAGCCTGGGGCGCCGAGGACTGGCAACAACCAACAGAAGCTAGGGAGAGGCAAGGAAGGGTTCTTCCCTAGAGCCTCCAGATGGCACCGTCCTACCGACACCTGGATCTCAGCCTTCCAGCCTCAGGACAGAGAGAACGAATTTCTGCAGTTGTAAGCCTGTTAGTTTATGGCACTTTGCTAGGGCAGCTTTAGGAAACGAACACATGCAGCAACCCCAAGGCCTCTCAGATGCGATATACTAACGAAGGAAGATCTCCAAAGAATACACACTTACGATTCCCTTTATAGGGCGCACTGGAGTAGGCCAAGCTGCAGATCAGTGGTTTCCAGAGCCTGGAGGTGGGGGGTGGAGGAAGATTACAAAGGGACATACAGGAACTTCAGGACGGGGATGACGGAACTGTTCTGTATCTTGACTATGGCAGTGATTATACAACATAGAAGTGTACCCCTAAGAAAGGTCATCTGAGGGGCACATCTGACTCTTGATTTTGGCTCAGGTCCTGGGGTCGAGACCCTCATCAGGCTCCACACTCAGCAGGGGTCTCTGCTGGAGATTCTCCGCCCCTCTGCCCCTCCCCTGCTCATGTGTAGGAGGTGCGCACCCTCTCTCTCTTTCTCTGCCCCCCAACAATAAATACATAAGTAAATCTTTAAACAAAAATGTCAGTTGTCTTGTTGGTAAATTATACCTCAAAAAAGTTTACTTAAAAAAAAAAAGCAAAGATAATATGAGCACCAAAATCACAATACTAGTTCCAGATTATAACCCACTGAATAAAATCAGAAGCCACAAAACCTGATAGACAGAAATAAATATAAGGATGCATGAAAGTCTGATGAGGGTCAGGATGGAGTATCTCCTCACAGAACAGCTGTTAGCTACAAAGGGGACGAGTGTCTTCAACATGAAGAGGCCTGACACACACCAGTAACCAATAGAAGTGAGCACCACTGGTAACAGGACAAAAGAAAGTCATCCACTTACGGGGACACAACAGCGTCATTCTGTGCTCTTCCTGCCAAAGACACAAATCTGAATCAAATCATGAAGAAGCATCAGACAAACCCCAACTGAGGGATATTCTACAAAATGCCCGATTGGTGCTCTTCAAAAGTGGCAGATGTAGTGAACAGAAGGGCCATCTGTACTCCAATGTTCACAGCAGCAATGGCCCCAGTCACCAAACCATGGAAAGAGCTGAGATGCCCTTCAACAGACGAATGGATAAAGAAAATGTGGTCCATATACACTATGGAATATTACGCAGCCACCAAAAAGGATGAATACCCAACTTTTGTATCAACATGGACAGGACTAGAGGAGATTATGCTGAGTGAAATAAGTCAGGCAGAGAAAGTCAATTATCATACGGTTTCTGTTACTTGTGGAGCATAAGGAATAACACGGAGGACATTAGGAGGAGAGGAGAAGGGAGTTGGGGGAAATCGGAGGCGGAGACAAACCATGAGAGACTGTGGACTCTGAGAAACAAACTGAGGGTTTTGGAGGGGAGAGGGATGGGGGAATGGGTGAGCCTGTTGATGGGTATTAAGGAGGGTACGTATTGCATAGAGCACTGGGTGTGGTGCATAAACAATGAATCTTGGAACACTGAAAAAAATAAAATAAAATAAGTGGCTAAGGTCATAAAAGTCAGAAATAATTTCTTTAATGTCAAAAGACTGAAAAACCGTTTTAGACTGAAGGAGACTACGGACAGTAAACACAGGTGATTCTGAACTGGATCCTTTTGGGGCAGAAGACGGCAGTGGGCACACGGTGAAACCACACACGAACGCCCATGGCTCAGATGGTAATAACATTCCACTGTTAACCTCCTGATTTTGATGGCTCTGTTTGGGTTATGAAGGACAACGTTGTTGCTTGTAGGAAAATACACAGTGAAATATTTGGAGGTGAAAGAGCGGCACGTTAGCAACTTATTTTCTCAAGGGGGGAAAAAGTTATTTGTACTGAACTTTCAATTTTTCTGTAAGTTTGTGATTGTTTCAAAGCAAAAAAAAAAAAAAGTATTCAGGGGCGCCTGAGTGGCTCAGTTGGTTAAGCGTCTGCCTTCAGCTCTGGTCATGATCTCAGGGTCCTAGGATCAAGGCCCGCATCAGGCTCCCTGCTCAGCAAGGAGTCTGCTTCTTTCTCTCCTCCTGTTGGTGCTCATGCTCTTTCTCAAATAAATAAATAAAATCTTTAAAAAAAAAAAAAGGAGGTAAAAAAAAAAACAAAGTATTCATAGAAAGAATCCTGGGAAGGTCAAGGGCTATTAGTTCATTCTATCCCCACTCCCCACTGCAACAGGACAGGGGCAGGATAGTAAGTTCTACCTACAGTCCTCTGAAGTTGACTACCAAGTACCACAAAGTCAGGATCTCAAACACAACACATGCTGGCAGTGTTCGGTTTTCAGAAGCATGAAATGCAGCATAAAGCAGAGACCTGCTTTATCTGGATACTGAATGATCCGATAGGCCAATGCAGAAGATCATCTGGTCTACCGAGGAAGGGCTCTGATACTGGCAGCCGCACGGTGAGATTCCAACATCAACGTAGGAAAGACAAGATCCAATGTAACAGGTATAAGAATGTTCATATTTTCCCTTTTCTAATAACCATTATATTTAAGAGCCCCTGTTAGCTCTCTCAAATGGAAGTCTCTATTTTAAATAATACTTTTGCTTTATGGGACCATCATCAAACAAGTGAACCCAGCTTTTACAGCAAAGAAAGAAGACAGTGCTTTTAGCATGGACAGCCATCCAAATAAACCAACTTATACCTTGTCTTGAAGTTCCCAACCTCAACACCAAATCTTCAATTGCTTAATTAGAACTATGAGAGGCACCTTATTTTTCAGAGACTGGGTTGTCTAATTTGGATCTTAACAACAATATCCTATACCATTGTCTGAAATATCGATTCCATGTTATTTTGAACAAAGTCCTTCAATGATACAAACGATTAAGGTACTAACCTAAATGCAAGAGGCCACGTATCCAAGCCTTAGATCTGCACTGTCCAATATGGTAGAGACCGACACATGAAGGTACTGAAATAAGATTGGTCTCAACCGCGACGAGCTCTAAGTGTACAATGTGCACCAGATTTCAGGCTTAGTACAAGTTTCAAAAAGAACGCGAAATACCGCATTTGTGTTTGTTATACTGATTATACAATGAACTGATAATATTCTGGATCTACAGGGATAAATAATAACTTAAATTATTTGAATAATATTAAAATCAACTGCACCTGTTTCTTCGTCTTTACTCTGGCTACTAGAGAATTCTGATTACATACGTGACTCACGGTATATTTCTCCTGGACAGTGCCGCCCTAGCCGGCCCGTGAGGTACACTAGGTCAAGATGTAGAAACTAGGAGACGGAATGATGGGCTTTCCCAGAAGAACTCCGAACGGTACTTAGGCCCAGTTTACCCTTCAAGATCCCATCTTTCTGAGGACAACGGCTGCCTATCCTTCCACACTCAACTGGGCCTGGAGAGAGAATTCTGGAGGTACCTGGAACTCCGCGGTGCTGCCCCGAAGCTGGCTCACGTTCGGTAAGGACCCGCCGTGGTACTGTGTGAGACGCAGCTGCTGAAGCTTCTGAAACTGGACCTGGAAACAAAGAGATTTCCAGACGGTTGAGAGATGACAGCAAAGATCTGAGGGAGGCACTGAAGTATGGGTACTTTGTAGCAAAACGGTTCAGGAGTGAAAGTCTTGGTTTCAGTTTCTTTTCTACCAAAAACCTACAGGTTTCCGGTGCCTTCTGATTTGTGACTGACTAGTCTATTTTTGGAAAGAATTTACCCATGTTCCAAATGTCCCAGGCGCGGTGACAGTGAGGTCTTTGCAAGGTCTCTGGGTGTGCGTGTATAGGTGGGCACAACCTCTAACAGCAGTAAAAGAGTCTCTTAAAGGAAAACTAAGCCATTCTCTATGACACTAACACAGGAACCGCGCTCCCTTCCGTGGTGCCCGTCCAGTCTCCGCTCACACGTGTGTGTAACACCTGCAGGACAGTAATCACAACTTGGGTGTGATCTCGCAGCCTTGCATCTTAACTCTTTCCTACGGTATTAATCATCTTTAATGGCTATATAACATTTTGTTTTCCGAATTATTTCCTAAGAACACATTCCAAAGTGTGATTACGGAGTCTCCGCATCCAGGCCTTTCGATGGCTCTCAATATGTGATCCCAGCGGGTATACTAAGTATATATGAGAAAACAGTTTCAGGAGAGAACTCTCACTAACACTGACTATCACCCTTAACTGGAGAAAGGAGGAGGCTAACTCAACAAGTATCAGATGGCATCCCACTGCTTTTAGGTGCCTTTCTTCTGTAAGTTCTTCCTTGCTTCATTTTTCAAAAGGCAATAAACTGGTTACAGTTCTTGTAAACCCCCAAGTGGTCCGATTTGGTCTTTGAGAGTTCTCTGTGGTTACGTAACTCCTGGCACTTATATTCACGTGGGGAAGGAAGAGGCGATGGGAATCCTGAAGTCTTTCATTATTAGACCCTTTGTCTAATAATAATAAAAGCTACCAATAGAAGCCCCTGAGATGAGCCAGATGCTGTCCTCAGAGGCTCTGCCCGTTTCATCCCTAACCTTCACCACGACCACCAAGGGAGACCATATCATCCTGCCTTTACAGACCTAGAGACCCAGACTTAAGGAAGCTCAACATTTGCCCAAGGTCACACGGCTGGAGGAGACCAAGCTATGGCTACCTCAAAACCCATATTCTTCGGTCCCTGGAGGCCTCAGCTGGTTAAGTATTCGACTCCTGATTTTGGCTCAGGTCATAATCTCAGGGTTGTGAGATCGTCTCCGCACTGGGCACGAAGGCTGCTTAAGATTATCTCTCTGGCTTTCCCTCTACCCTCCCACCCACCTCCCCAACCCTTCCCTCTCTTAAATACACACACACATCATTCTTACATCTGCCACGATCCTTTCCTTTGTTCCATTTCTCTCTTTTTTAAGATTTATTTATTTATTTGAGAGAGAGAACACAGCAGGGAGGAAGAACAGAGGGAGAGGGAGAGGCCGACTCCCCACTGAGCAGGGAGCCCGGCATGGGGCTCGATTCCAGGACCCCAGGATTATGATGTGAGCCGAAGGCAGAGGCTTAACCAACTGAGCCACCCAGTCGTGCCCCCCCCCCCCATTTCTTTCAGTGATCACACTATTTACAAGCTCAGAGAAAAATGAAGTTTGGTTGACCAAAAGCATTGCTGGGCCTATGCCGATTTTATTAATTTTTTTATTTACTATGAAAAATTCAAATATATACAAAATAGAGATGAATACACTGAAACCCCATCTAACAGCTTCCAGCTTCCACGATGATCTCATGTCCAGTCCTGATTCATCCTTACCCCTTGACGGCCCACGGCACCCCACCGAAAGAAATCCAGACAATGTATCATTCCACATTTCCATACGCATCTCCAAAAGATAAGAGCCTATATCTGGCTGGAGGTTTTAAAGGCATACAAAACCCCTTGGTGGCCTTAACTTCCTTGTACCCACAGGATTTCATTTCCCAAACATACTGTCCTGGGAGGCAGCTATAAACTATTCATCAGAACCCAGATCCAAGAGTCAAATATGAGAAGGAGGACAGAGCGAGCCTTTTCCATCTATCAGCTGAATTACAACAATGAAGTCTGAGCTTTTGATGTTAACACTCTTAAAGCACTTACCAGAAGCATTTGACTCTCCGTCCTTGAAATTCTCTAGACAAGATTCTTGGCCCCCTTGATCTCAAGCCTTTGATTCCTTCTTCCATCAATCCATCCATTTAGTCACTTATATAAAACATTTAACTGTGGGGTGCCGGGCTGGCTCAATCAGTTGAGCGGCTGCCTTCAGCTCAGGTCCTGATCCCAGGTTCCTGGGATCAAGCCCCGCATGGGGCTCTCTGCTCAGTGGAGAGCCTGCTTCTCCCTCTCCCTCTGCTTCCCACTCTGCCTACTTGTGCGCGCTCTCTCTCTCTGTCAAACAAACAAATAAATAATTCTTAAAAAAACAAAAACATTTAACCGTGTATGTTAGGTACTGTGCCAGGTGTTGTCTTACTAAGATGAACACATGCTAAGGTCCCTGCCTTTACAGAGTTCTCACAAAGGCTTCAACTTTTACCCAAAAGCCTTGACAGTTCAACCAAGTTCAACCAAGTTCTCAATCTAGCGGGACACCTGCCTTCACCTGAGCCTAAGGCCCTCCCACCATCTCCCATACCTGCTCTCCCTCCCCAAATGCCTATTCTAGAGTCTTCCGTCTTCAGAGACTGCTGTGTTTTGAGGAGAAGAGTCCTGCACTCAGAGCCGGAAGACCTGCCTGTGTGTCTTGAAGCTCCCACGTAGCTGGGGAAATTACTCTGCCGTCTACTCCACAAAGACAACGTAAGGATTAAAAGAGAGAAAAGACAGGACAGTGGGGTGTAAAATGGAAAGCTGTGGACAACTTCTCGAAGTATCATCATCATTGTTGATACTCGCCGCTAGCTCCTAAACCCTTGAGTAACTGTGATATCCTCCTCTTTTGAAATCTAGAATCGATGAATTGGAAAGAACCTTAGAGACTTGTCTTCAACACCATCCTGCTTCCTGATGAGCAAAATGGGCACCGAAGAATGAGTAGCCTAAGTGGAGATGATGGGTTGGCACACCAGGGACCACATTTAGAGAGTTCTGTTTGACCCATAAATATGATACTGACCCACTCAATGCTTTAAAATGTCATTCTGGATTGAAAGACTGTATAAAAACCTGGATTTCCAACATCTCTTGACGGCAAGATCAAGCAGGACTTGCCCCGCGTGGCAACAACGCGTGGAGCTGAGAAGCAGCTGCCCCCCCACCCTGCCCCCGCACACAGCCTGAGCTACCATTTGCCCAAGACCTCACTGCACCCTATTATTCCTCCACCGCGGCCTGAGATTGGCTACCATCTACTCACTCCTTTTCCCTACATGCCTCATGCTGGAACTTAACTTAGCAACCTCTAGCCTGTAGCCACACACTTCAGTGGAATGTCCTTTAATGTCTGTATGAAATGAAATCCAAGCCTCACTAACTCCCTTTTTAAAAAGTCTCACAAGGGCGCCTGGGTGGCACAGATGGTTGAGCCTCTGCCTTCGGCTCCGGTCATGATCCCAGGGTCATGGGATTGAGCCCCGCATCGGGCTCCCTGCTCAGTGGGGAGCCTGCTTCTCCGTCCCTCTGCAGCTCCCCCTGCTTGTGCTCCCTCTCTCTCTCTGTCAAATAAATAAAAATAAAAAACCTTTAAAAGATAATTTAAAAAATAAGATAAAAAGTCTCACAGTGGCCAATCCCAAACAAAAATCCCAGCAGGCCTTTTTATAGAAACTGACAAGATCATCCTAAAACTGACCTACAGTAGTCAAAGCAATTTTTAAAAAAACAGCAAAGTTGGAAGGCTGCTATCTTTCTTCCAGACTTACTCTAAAGCTACAGTAATTCAAGCAGGAGCAACTGTCACAGAGACATGGGGATCAACAGGAAAGAAGAGAGAGTCCAAAAATAGACCCACACAACATCTGGCCCAATTGATTTTTGACAAAAGTATCACAGCAATGCAATGGGGAAAGTGTCTTCAACAGATGCTGCTGGGATCAGTAGATATCCTGGGGGGGGGGGAATAAAAGCAGTCAAGTACACAGACATGCAAGGGCACAGCCATACTCAAACCCCAGCTCTGCCAATAATCAGCCATGCAACCGTACCTCTTCAGCCTCAGTTTACTCATTTGCAAACTGACGAGTAATCTAGATACACATTCCCTAGGGGCAGCATGAAAACCACAGGAGAAAATGGATGTAAAGGAGTCAAGGACAGCATCTGGCAAAGAGACGGCACTCAATATTTAGCCCAAATCCAATATGTCTAATCTTTTCGCCTTTCTTTTTTTAAAAAGATTTTATTTATTTATTTGTCACAGAGAGCGCATGTGTGCAGAAGCAGGGGGGAGGGGCAGTGGGAGAAGCAGACACCCCACTGAGCAGGGAGCCCGATGTGGGGCTCCATCCCAGCAGTCTGGGATCATGACCTGAGCCGAAGGCAGACACTTCACCGAGTGAGGCGCCCCTCTTCTCTCCTCTCTTAGAGGTCTTCCTGCTACAGAACACATCAATTATTTGTTTGTTTTAATATAAAAATGATTCTCCCCAAATATTCAAGCTAGTTGAATGCTCCAGGCCGATGTGCTGTGTTTACGCCATGGTTTCTCAAAACTACAAGTTGTTCTTCAAAGTTGAACTTCTAGAACAAGCTCCCAATCCTGTCTCTCCTTCCATTTGGTCCTGGCTGCCTCGCAACCTCCATCCCCACCAGGTCACTGGGATCCCAGGGGCTCTCACCCAGATACCAACGGCCTCCACTTTACTAGACCAACGGACACGTCCTTAACCTGTCAGACGAGTCTGCAGCATTGGGCCTAGCTGCTGGACATGCTCTCCTTTCCCTCTCTGGTTGCTCTTTGGTCTTTCTTGCTGGCTCCCTTCCTCTGCCTCCCCGTTCCATGGTGGAGCTCCCCGGGCTTCTCTGGGCCCTCTCCACATTTCGCTCTGAAGCACGGCTCACGAACTCAAATGTCCACAGGTGCCAAGTGCAGAAGAGAAGCAAGGGAAGCCCCTGGAACCACTGTGAGGAACACTACAGGGAGCGGTGGGGTCTGAGGCAAACTGAACACATACATGCACTTTCCGGGGTGGGGGGGAGCCACTATGGGAGCTCCAGGCAACTGCTACCATGCGGAAATGGGAGTGAGTGTTGTTAGATGATTTCATTTTTCAAAAGAAGCCAGAATCCAAACTTTAATATAAAATCCCAGTATTTGGGCACCGGGGTGGCTCAGCTGGTTAAGCAACTGCCTTCGGCTCAGGTCATGATCCCGGAGGCCTGGGATCAAGTCCCACAACGGGCTCCCGGCTCCACGGGGAGTCTGCTTCTCCCTCTGACCTTCTCCCCTCTCATGCTCTCTCTCACCGTCTCTCTCTCAAATAAATAAATAAAATCTAATAAATAAATAAATAAATAAATAAAATGCCAATATTCACTGTTGGTCCTAATTAAAAGCAAATAAACACATTCAGGCATACCCTGCCCCCCTCATAAGGACCAAATTAGAATACAGGTCACCAATTTGCAAGATAGGCTCTAGAAATTCTTCCTAGGCAGCTGACTCTACTACCACAACCACACACCAACGGTTCCCACATTTCTATCACTAGCCTAGACTTCCCTCTTTAACGGGAGATCCTTTTAGGTCTTCAGGGCCATACAAACAACTGTGTGCCAGACCATCTCCACTGAAATGCCTCACAGGCACCTCACACTCAGCATCTCCTGACACTGAGGCATGTGCTCCCGCCAGTGCTCCCCCTCTTAATGCAGGACACCTTGAAATGGCTCAAGTCTGAAAGCTGGGGATCATGCATTCACTCAGTTTGGTCATTTCTAGCTCTGAGAATTGATCTGCTCGCCTCCCTGCCTCCCTCTTGCGAGCACCCCAGTGTCGAGGCCATCATCACATCTCCTGGACTACTACCGCCACCTCCCCCTCAGTTCTATCCACCACTCTGGACCTACAGGCATCCTTTTAAGACGCAAATCTCCCCTACTTCAACCCCTTCCTGACTCTCCATTGTCCTTAAGATCAAGTCCCAAATCCTGTCTCTACAATCTGATGCTTGTGAATGCCTCAACTCAAACCACCCTCTTTGTCCCCTTGCTGAACCTCATACCCTCAAATGGCATCCCCTCGCCATGGTATGAATGGCAGGACTCCCTACCATTCATTTCCAGAGCGGCAGCTGCTTCCCCTTTTGTAATATTCATTAAAATCTGTCCTTACTTGACAAAGGAATATCTTCTCCATTAAATCCTAAAATCTATGAGGAGACGGTATTTTGCTTGCTCACTATTATAATCCCCAATGTCCGCCCTAACCTGGACTCAGTAAGTATTTGATGAACAAATTAATAAGACCTTTGAAACACCATGTCTTCACCTCCCCCCCCTGCACACAGACCCCACCAACCACAGTGGGCACTCCAGTACTGACAAATGAATGAGTGAACAAAGGAACAGCCTCTTTCCACTTTTTAACCCTTCTTACCATCCCAGGTACCACCACTTAAGTAACCCCACTAGCACTGTCTTCGCAAAATATTCCCACTGCTTCTTAATAAGACTGAACCCCTAAAGCTAGAATGAAAAATTCCCCATAATCTAGTCTCTCCCACCTACTAGGCAAATAGGATTTAACCAGAACTCTGAAGGATTGACTCTGATTATGTAGTGAATGCCTTGGAGCCCAGCACAGGCTCAGAAAGAAAGACTGATTATCAATGTCTGATAATGGAAAATCAGTGTATCTGCCATCCAGTGACCAATAATGAACTAGCTGGGGACACCCAGGTGGCTCAGTGGTTAAGCATCCAACTCTTGATTTCAGCTCTGGTCATCTCAGGGTTGTGAAACTGACTCCACAGTGGACACAGAGACCGCTTAGGATTCTCTCTCTCCCCTCCCCTGGCTCTCATTAATAAACAAATAAATAAATAAATAAATAAAATGAGCTCTCATTAATTAATTGTGAATGAATGAATGAACGAACAAATAAAATGAGCTCTCTGGATTCTTCTCCATCTGGGATCTTTGGACGCTTACAGGTTTACAGATACATGCTGGGGGGAATCTACGCGTTATCTACGAGAAGTGCTCAGTTCTGCAAATTGCGTTATGAAAATAATCCTTGACATTTTTAAATAAGAAAATACAACTCAGCAAATGCAGTTTTCTCATTTGCCTTGTTTTTATAGATACATTGGACCCTGGAGCGCCTGGCTGGCTCCGTCAGTAAGGCATGCGGCTCTTGATCTTAGGGTTGTAAGTTCGATACCCAGGTGGATGTAGAGATTACTTTTTAAAAAATTGAAAATACATTAAAAAATATAAACACAGTGGACCAAAGTAGTATTATTTTATCGGCAACTGGTAGCAGAGAAAGAACACAGAAGGAATTAACACATAAATGATGTCCTGTACCGGGTGAAGGGCAAAGTGACATCCTAATTTTGTAGTAATTAGAACTTAGAAAGTGACGGTTGAACTGACTTACCCCGTGGGGCATACCTGATCAGCCTTACTAAACTCAAGAAAACCTAAATTACACGTCTTCGCATCATACCCATCCTGAGAGTTTCAACTGAGTTCAGCAAAATAGCATATGTCGTATCGAATTAATGATGTGAATTTGAATTTATTGCTTTTTTTAATGTTGAGTGAATTTATTTTGTGCATGTCTTTTAGTTATGGTTGTACCACAGTTATAATCAAAGGACTTTATGTACAGTGGATGTTTGAGCATATTTAAGTAACATAACCAAACTCATTTAAATAAACATTAAGGATCTGTGAAAAAATTTTGCCTAAAAAGAGTCCATACAGCAGTGCGAGGTGCCATGACCTGCCTTCAGCTCAGGTCATGATCCCAGAGTCCTGGGATCGAGCCCCACATTGGGCTCTCTGCTCAGCGGGGAGCCTGCTTCCTTTCCTCTCTCTCTCTCTGCCTGCGTCTCTGCCTACTTGTGATCTCTGTCTGTCAAATAAATAAAAAAAAAGTCTTAAAAAAAAAAAAGAGTCCACACATTACTCATGGCTTTATCTATCAGGGATGCTTTAAAGAGGGTTTATGAATTGGGTGGGAGACTGGATCAACTCTAAGGGTATAGACAAACAGTGCCTGTATTTTTACACACACTTTATCTAAACAACATGTAACAACACACCTCCCAGCATTAATCCTCAGCATTCACCCAACTGTTTTTAATGTGCTCTGAGCTCATCATGTTCATCCCTGAATCTAACCAAGGTCACACACATATATGCCTGTGGACACCAGGCAGATAAATAAATGAGTGAAGCTATTTAGGGCATGAGGATAAATTTTATTGAAATTCTCAGCTTTGGGCGCCTGGGCGGCTCAGTAGGTTAAGCATGTGCCTTTGGCTCAGGTCATGATCTCCGGGTCCTGGGATCGAGCCCTGGGTTTGCTCTCTACTGAGCGGGGAGTCTGCTTCTCCCTCTGTGCTCTCCCTCTTTCTCTCTCAAATAAATAAATAAAGTCTTAAAAAAAAGAAAAAAGAAATCCTCAGCCTTCTTTCTATTTTTACTTAGCATAAAAATATAAACATATAAGAAATATTTCATTTCCTGTTCATTTCATGAAAGGAAAACATCAAAAATATGATAAATGGCCAATGACACCTAGCTTCGGTGTGGGGGAGCTCATGACAGGATGTGTGAACTGTGGCCAACTAGAGAATCCACGTTCCAGCTGAGGGGGCAACCACCACCCAGCTCCGGGCAAAAGCTGTCATATGGGAATTCAGGATGACTGATGACTGCTACCGGGTCTCCCAATTTTAAATATGGATCTAAAGATAGGAAAAGAAGAAAAAGAGTGGAGAGACCGGGGAGGGAAGGTGGGGGAGTGGCGGGTAGGGAGGGAGAGAAAGAGGGAGGAAGGGAGAGAGAAAGAAAAAAAGAGGAATTTTTTTTTTTTATGAAAATCTCCCCAATTAAAAGGCAGCAGATTCAAGAAGTTTTCCCAAAACCCGTACTTGGCCAAAAAAAAAAAAAAAAAAAAAAAAAAAAAAGTTGTCTGCAGCTGAGTGAGCGGGGACCGCCGCGTGCAACTCCGCTCTCAGCTCCCCTTCAAGCCTGCCCCCTGCCCGGTATCTGCATATCCTCCCCCGGGTTCGCGATGGTCCTTCAAGGTCAGCATTCGGGAGCCTCAAGGCCTGGCCCGCTCCCGCTGACCCTGCAGCCCTGCGCGGACACTCCTCTTGGCTCTCTTGGCTCTCCTCTTGGCTCTCCATCCTCCACTGCCTCACTCAACAGTTTCCCAACCTCCGGGTGTTTGTCCCGGCTCGAGCCTTACTCACTGCTCTTGGACCCTCCTCCGTCACCAGCGACGCTGTGCACCTTGCCAGTTCTCGTTAAATCTCCGCGCTGAGCGCAGTAAAGCGGAGAGGAAAGCCTCCCTCGGCTCGCAACGCCTCCCCGAGCTGCCCTCGGCCCGCGCCGGCCCCGGGCTCACGGTGCACCCGGCTCCCCCCGGCCCCGGGCCCCGCGGCCCCCCTCGCCCCGCCGTCCAGAAGGGCCGGCTGGCGGAGGATGTGCGGAGCCACGAGAAGCCGCACCGCCCGCCTCCGAGCTGTTTGTGATTTCCTCCCGGGGCTCCGTTCGCCCTCCCCCTCAGGCCGCCCTCGCGCCACCGCCCCGCGCGCCCGGCCCGGCCTCTTGCCTCTCCCCGCTCACCGGGCCCCGCGACCCTCCCGCCTCTGCGGGCTGCGCAGGGGGCCGGCGGGCGGGGAAGCGCCGAGAGGCCGAGGCCGCGCCGACCCCGGTCCCCCGCGCGGCCCCGGCCCGGCCCCGCCGCCGCCGCCGCCGCCTCGGCCCCGCCGGCTCTCGCCTGCGGCGGGGGCCGCCCCCACCCGTCCCCCGCCCGCGCCCCGGCCCCGGGCGCTCACCCGCGACAGGGTGAGGTCGGTCATAAGCTGCTCGAAGGCCCGCGTCTCCTCGGCCTGCCGCTGCGTGTGCAGCGCGATCTTCTCACTGAACTTCCGCGGGTTGGCGCTGCCCGAGCCCGGCGAGGCGGCCATGGCGCGGGCCCGGCCCGGCGGGAGGGGGAGACGGCAGGCGCGGGGCCTGGGAGTCGGCCCGCGCGTCCGTCCGCAGGCCGCCCGAACCGCCGCCCGAAGGCCCGTCCTCCGGCGCGACCCGGCAGAGGAGCCGCCGCGGCCCCACAGCCAGCAAGCGGCCGGGAGCGCGCCGAGGTCCGCCCCCGCGCGGCCGGCCCCGCCCTCGGCGCGGCCCGCCCGCCGCCTGCCGCCCGGCCCCTACCCCGCTGCCCGGCCCCGCGCTCCTAGCCCGGCCCGGGGCCCCCGGGGCGTCGAGACTCGCCGCGAGCCCCGTCGGCAGAGCACGCCGCCTCCGACGTGCGGGAGCCGCTGTGTGACTGACGGGCTCCGGCGCGGGGGGCATCCTGGCCGCGCGGCTCGCGTTACGACTTTCCAGCCGGCGTCTGGCCGCCCCCTCGTGCCTCCCCGAACCCCCCGGGCCGCCGCTTTGCTCCCGGGGGAGACGACTGGACGCCCCGATCTCGAGCCTTCCCTCTCGCGTCTCCCGCGCTGCGGGGCGTCCGGCCGCCCGCCCGCCAGGCCCGCCCCCGGCCCGCGCCGCCCTGGGTGGGCTCAGTTCACGGTCCGTCCGGGCGCGCGCAGCGGAGCTTCCCAAAAATCCACCTGGTGAGAGGCGCACCCGGCAGCCGCCATCCCCGCCCTGGTGCGAGCTCTTCGCTCCTCAGCCCCGGGCCCTCGTCCAGGTTCTTGCCGAGTCTCCCCGGGACCTCCGCAGAGCCCGGCTCCGGCCAGGGGCCAGTCTCCCCGCCGTCCCCGTACTTCTGCAGCCCGGGAGCTGCTCTCCCACAACGGCGCCTGGACCGCGCTAAGAGTGGGGCTGTGTTTCGTCAACTAGACAACACCAGAGACGCGCGGACGCGTCCAGAAAAGTCCATTGACGACACCCACGCCCCCCACTCGAGATTAAACAGAAAACATGCCGCTTCGTTTACTTGGTGCTTATTAAAGAAATACAAAATTAGACCTAACTAAAGCCCCACCCTTAGTTCTCCTTCCTCCCTCGTCACTGGGCTCAAGTTGGTGCATATCATTCCTACTCACGTTTTTATAGTGTTATTACATATGATGTACGGATCTGCCAACTGTATAGAGCACCAGTTGTCGATTTTCAGTTTTTCAAAATGACATCATGCTGAGTAATCTTTCTCAACTTTTCTCATTTCCCATTTTGTTTTTGAGATACATTTGTGTTTATGGCTTTTAACTACTGTGTAGTACTTCGTTGTTTTTCATGTGTCTCCTAGCATCCAGCTGCATTTTTTCGAAATTTTAATATGAGAATATATCTCTGTTAGCTGGAGTTTAGCTTGTTCTAGTAATTATAATTGGATTTATTCTCATTGTAATTGAATTCTCTTTTATTTTGGGGTATTTAGCATATTCTTTCTTTATATTTTATTTTCTGCATTCCTGTTATATCATCTGGGTTCAGTTTCAGAGAACAGAATTCATTCTAGATAGATTAGGTACAAAGGATTCTTTATAGTGTATAAAGTGGCTAAAGAGCTTCCCTGGAAGGCGGGAGAAGTAGGTTCTAGGTTGAACCTTCAGGAACAACGTGGAGAAGCCTGCTGCAGGATCCGCCACCAAAAGAGCCACTGGCCCTTACTGGCCCAATTTGGAAGCCACTTAACTGAATGGCTGGCTAGTGAACCGCATGGCTAGTGTCCTGATTGGAACCCACCACGGAGAAATGAGACACCCCCAAGGCAGTGCTCACCCACAAAAACAGCACACACCCACACTCTGCTTCACTTCCACCCTACAAATCAAGTAAGAGAGAAGTTGATCAGAAGAGCCAAAACCGAATCCAGAATCCTAGCATTTGAAATACAGGAAGGCCCAGAAAGACACAGGAATGGGTAATGAGCTAACTCCACCATACTCATCCAGCGACTCACCAAAGCATTTATCTACCATGCCTGCATTTTATTGCATTGAATGACTGGTTTTTACTTCCACATTTCCCTGATCTGATTTGGAAGATACTCATTCCATTTCTATTCTTATTACGGTTAGCCTGATCATTTTCAATTTTTTAAGCAAATAAATGCATGCAAATTGTTTAACAATAGTTTTACAAGGCCTATAATCTTATTTTTAAAAAAAAAGATTTTATTTATTTGTGCACATGAGAGAGAGACAGAAAGGAACACAAGAAGGGGGGATGGGAGAGGGAGAAGCAGGCTCCCCACCAAGCAGGGAGCTGGACTTGGGGCTTGATCCCAGGACCCTGGATTGTGACCTGAGCAGAAGGTAGACGCTTAACAACTGAGCCACCCAGGCACCCCAAGGCCTATAATTTTAAAAAGAAGTAATTCCCATTTCCTTCTATAAATAAGCTTGTCCTGCTGTTTTGTGATTTTTTTTTTTCAGTTTTAGATATTGACTATTCATTTTCTACAGTGAAGAAGGACGCTTTGGCTATTTTGTATCCTCAACAAAAGTATGATCTTCCCTGCTCCCATTCTTTCAGTGTCATTATATAATAATTTTTGGTAAATCAGTGGTAAGTGCTTACATAGCGTACCATAGTTTCATTTTTCTACAGTTGTGCGGGCAGGGGAAGTTAATTACTGCCTCTGGTTTTTATTTGCTTAGATTTCTCTCAACCTGTTACAAATCCTTTTCTCCCACTCTCCAGCAGAATACTGGAAGATATGACTGCATCTGTGAATGGTCAGTCTGGGGGGACCTTCCCTTCCAGGGCACTTTGACTTCTTGTCCCACCCAGACCGGTTGCTATGTGGGCCGACTGCGGCCTCCACCATCATCCTGAGGGGTCCCCTCAACCCCTGTCCATCCTCTAACCCCCTTCCTGCAAGCCCCCAGCCCCCCTCAGCTCCATTGTGCTAGAGCTTCACATACTTCTTCACTGTAGTAGAGAATATTCCCCCCTAGTTTCTTGAGCAAAGAAGAGTACATAAAACCCTTGCAACTGTGTGTGTGTGTGTGTGTGTGTGTGTGTGTGTGTGTGTGTATTTTACCCTCATATTTGAGTGATAGTTTGGCTAAGCATAGTCTTCTTCATTGGAAATCCTGTTCACTTAGATCCGAGAACACATTGCTTCCCTGTTTTCTCACTTCTCACACTGCTATTGAGAAGGCCATTCACATTCTGTCTCTTTTTGTGGGTGACCCGGTTTTTGAGGGCCTTATTGTTTATTTTTGTTTTGTCACCCCCGTTCTCTGAAGGCTTAATGTTCTGATGTTTTACGATGATATGCCTTGGTGTGGGGCTTCTGTTGTTGTCCGTTATGCTGGGCAGTGATGTGTATGTAGAAACTAGACACTCGTGTCCTTCAGTTCTGAAAAATTGTCTTATTTTTTAAAAAGATTTATTTACTTGAGAGAGGTAGAGAGCATGAGCAGGGGGAAGGGCAGAGGGATAGGGAAAAGCAGGCTCCCCACTGAGCAGGGATTCCCCCTCAGGGGCTCAGTCCCAGGACCCTGAGGTCATGACATGAGCTGAAATCCTAGGTCAGCTGCTTAACCACCCTGGGTGGGACCACAAAATCATCTTATTTTTTGATAATTTTCTTCTCATTTACTTTGCTCTCTCTTTTTGGAAAATCTACCAGTCAGTTAACAGACCTTCTAAATTGCTAATTGCTAATTTTCGTATACTTTCTGCTTTCTATTTCTTTTTCTTTTGTTGTCGCTGTTTCCTGATACATTTTCTCAACTTTATCTACTGACCCTGCTATTAAACTTTTATTTCTGCTATATTTTTAACTTCTAAGAGCTTTTTCCTGGTTTCTGAATATATTTTTTAAGATTTTATACTTATTTGAGAGAAGAGAGAGAGAGTGAGACTGAGCTTACGGGAGGACAGAGGGGAAAGGAAAAGCAGACTCCCTGCTGAGCAGGGAGCTTGACCTGGGTCTCGGTCCCAGGACCCTGAGATCATGACCTGAGCCAAAGGCAGAGGCTTAACCAACTGAGCAACCCAGGTGCCCCTGAATATTTCTTTTTTAATAACATCCTGTACTCATTGCATGAATGAACTATTAATTACAGATTATTTATGTCTTTATCTTTTCTTCTACTCCTTACATTGTCTGCCTCTGTTTTGTCTGAGTTCATTTTTTTTGTTGTTGTTGTTGTTCATTTTGACCTCCATCTAGAGGCTTTCCCTAAATCTCTGGTGATCCTTGACTCTAAAATCATAATTAAGACAGAGATGATAAATATGTATAGATTCCTTTTTTCTGGAAATAAACATGTTTTAAATATATATATTTAAATATTCTGTAGTAGAGATTGCTAGTTGTCTCCCCATACTCATTCTCTCCTCCTTCCTTTATTAAAAGTAATCGAGATTTAGCTGGGTTCATCATTGCCGAACTAAAGCCAGCTACAGACTACATTTCCCACTCTCCCTTGCAAAGAGGTATGGTCATGTGATTATGTTCCACCCAATAGGGTATCCTTTGCAAATAAGTATGGTCATGTGATTATGTTCCTCCTGAGAGGGTGTGAACAGAAGTATAGGCAACTTTCTCAGGCAGTTGCATGAAAAGGGCGAGTGGCCTATTTTCTCTTCTCTTCTGCTCACTAGCTGGAATATGGATGTTGTAACTAGATCGGGAGCAGCTATCTTAGATCATCAGATAAAAACTTTGTGTTGAGAATGCAGAAGAATGGTAGCAAAGGGACCTAGGATCCCAGCACTGTGTAACCACAATATTAGCTCTGGACGGCTTCTAGATCATTACATGACTGAGAGATAAGCATCGATTTTGTTTAAAGCCCTGTTATTTTGGCCTTTGTTACAGGAATCAAACCAGGATCTTTTATACTTAAATAGAAAAATTTGTATAAACATATCAAGATATGGTTAACAATAGCTCCCTTTGGGGATGCAGTGACTACTGGGAAACTTTTATTTTCTGCTTTACACATTTCTAAATGATTTGTATTTTTAAAAAACAAGTATGTATTACTATCAACATCACAAAAAAAGTAAGAAAGAACAAATACCACTTAGTTTTAAACTGAGTGTAAGCTATGTGTGCCTGCATGTGGCTCTTTTATTTTTCTAACTAGGCTTCGCACCCAGCCTGGAGCTCAACACCTGGCTTGAACTTGTGACCCTGAGATCA